CCCTGTAGTCCCAGTTACCTGGGATAACTTGAGCTTAGAGATACAAATCTCCCATGAGCTATGATTGCACTGTTGCACTCCAGCCTGGGCAACAGAGCAAGACCCTGTCTCTAAATAAATAAATAAATAAATGTTACTAGGATTATTATTATTATTATTGTTACTGAAAGAGTAAGGGAAAATCAGGAGTGGAGCAAGAGGAATTTAGGGCTATTAAAATGAGAACTCTTGGGATACTCAGACCAAGCAGAGGGAGAATCAGAACATTTCTATTTTTAAAATTCTTTCCCACCAGAATATTTTTTTTAATTCAGAACAACTTGTTATAGGCATCAAATAATTTTAAATCTACGCTAAGTCCTAGCAGAATAAGTGCCAACATTACCAAAAGGGCTTCCAAGGACTATAAGAGCTTTAGTGTGCTAAAGCAGAGAAGATATTACTGGATATATTTTTGAAGCTGAAGTGCTTCCAAATTTGGTAGTTCCAATTCGGTTATTTTTTTTTAGGGAAGTTTTTAATAAGAAGAACATAAAGGGCTCCGCGCCTGTGGCTCAAGCGGCTAAGGCGCCAGCCACATACACCTAAGGTGGCGGGTTTGAATCCAGCCCGGGCCCGCCAAACAACAATAATGGCTGCAACCAAAAAATGGCCAGTCGTTGTGGCGGGCGCCTGTAGTCCCAGCTACTTGGGAGGCGGAGGCAGGAGACTCGCTTGAGCCCAGGAGTTAGAGGTTGCTGTGAGCATGATGCCATGGCACTCTACCCAGGGGGACAGCTTGAGGCTCTGTCTCAAAAAAAAAAAAAAAAAGAACATAAAGAAATAATCATTGCTGGTTCCCTAATGTTATCAAGTTTCAGGAATGTGGCTATTGCTTTCCAAAATACCATGACAATGACCTAATTTCTGACCAAGGAAAGACTGAACTTTCTCCCTTAACCTGCCTTATGAACCCAACAAAAAAGAACAAAGGGGAATAAAATCTGTGAGCTGATGGTTTCAATACCTTTTCAGACTTTATTCCAATATATATATATATATTTTGTTTTTGAGGCAGAGTCTCACCCTGTTGCCCTGGGTAGTGTGCCATGGTGTCATCATAGCTCACAGTAACTTCAATATCTTGGGCTCAAGAGATCCTCTTGCCTCAGTCCCCTAAGTAGCTGGGACTACAGTTGCCCGCCACGATGTCCTGATAGTTTTTCTTTACTTTTTTTCTTTGACCAGGGCTGGGTTTGAACCCACCACCTCCAGCATATGGGGCCGGCACCCTACGCCTTTGAGCCACAGGCACCACCCAATGGTTTTTCTATATTTAGTAGAGAGAGGGTCTCACTCTTGGCTCAGGTTAGTCTCAAACTCCTGCGCTCCATCTCTGCCTACCAGAGTTAGGAGGACAGGTGTGAGCCACCATGCCAGGCCCGTATCTTTTTTTTTTTTTGAGACACAGCCTCAAGCTGTCATCCTGGGTAGAGTGCCTTGGCGTCACAGCTCACAGCAACCTTCAACTCCTGGGCTTAAGTGATTCTCCTGCCTCAGCCTCCCAAGTAGTTGGGACCACAGGCATCCGCCACAACACCTGGCTACTTTTTGGTTATAGTTGTCATTGTTGTTTGGCAGGCCCTGGCTGGATTTGAACCCGCCAGCTCAAGTGTATGTGGCTGGTGCCTTAGAGCTTGAGCTACAGGTGTCGAGCCCCAATATCTTTTCATAATGATGATGCTCTGTAATTTTTTTCAAAGGAGGTAGTAGGTCAAGTAGCAATTCTCAAAGGTATATTGAAAGCTCACTGACTCTGTGCTGAGCCTATCCTCATCTTCTGAGGTAGGAATAAACTGGAACACTTCTGTGGTTAAATAAGTTAGCGGTACTACTTGTTTTGGGGTGGGATGGGGGACTACAAATCATGAGGCACCTCAATATCACAAAGGACATATAGAATTGGGGCTTGCATTGGGTGATTTTGGGAAGAGTTTCAGGAATTTGGGCTTTGATCTGAATTAGATGCTATTTATGGGTGTATATATTCATGAATCTTCTCTAGAAAGAAGGGAGAGTAGACTGAGGCTAAAACTGTAATTTTTTTTGAGACAGGGTCTTGCTCCATCACTCAGGCTGGAGTGTAGTGGTGTGATCATAGATCACTATAACTTCTAACTCCTGTTCACATCCCTTCCTGTTCTTGGGAACCTGAGAAGGTGACTGGAAGACTAGTAATTTCATTTTTGAGTTTATTTCATCCGTTATGTTTACCTCCTACTCAGGCCCAACCCCTAACAGTCCTTGAGATAACTGTGGGCACCTAATAAATGTTTGTTGAATGAAGGAAACAGAGAATGGCCGGGCACGGTGGCACATGCCTGTAATTCCAGCACTCTGGAAGGCCAAGGCAGGCGGATTGCCTGAGCTCACAGGTTCAAAACCAGCCTAAGCTAGAGTAAGACCCAGTCTAAAAATGGCCAGGTATTGTGGCAGGTCCTATAGTCCCAGCTTTTTGGGAGGCTAAGGCAAGAGGATTGCTTGAGCCCAAGAGTTTAAGGTTGCTGTGAGCTATCATGCCACAGCACCTACAGAGGGCAACAAAGTGAGACTCTGTCTCAAAAAAAAAAGAACTCCAGAGAATGCTTGGATGCAAACTGCAGCTCCACCACCTATAAGTACATAATTTGATACAATATATGTTAATGGCTTGTCCATTCATATTCAAATTTCATTATTTGACCCAATATAGTCCATTACAGCTATTCGGTCATCACCACCACAGTTTAGGGTCCAATTTAGAATTGTATTGTTGGATCCGAAAAAGCCTCCCAAATTAACCCCAACCAACAAACTTGAGACTCGCTCCGATGTAAAGGGCATAAGGTGAGATTAATTACAGACCCGGGAGGCCTGGGGGGCCCGGGGGCCCCGGGCCTTGACTCTCCTGGCATGCAAGCAGAGGACGAGCCCCGAACTCGGGGTGAAGGCAGTTTTTATAGGGTACAGAAAGCAAGAAGGGAAAAAGGGTATGAGTACACTTTTGATTGGTGGTTGGTGAGATCACTAGTAAAGGAAGGTTTGCATTGGTGGCTGATGATTTCACTAGTACAGGTGAGGGGGGTATTTCTTAACCAGGGCTTGATTAAGTGGCTGGAGGGAAATTACCTATTAGGGTAATGAAAACTTATTGTTTTATTGCAGTAGGGTGACTTAGTTAATAAGGAATTGGGGGCTTATTGCTCTGTTGCCCAGGGTGGTACTATTTGGTTGAGTAACTATGAAAGGAATGAGAAAGGTTGCAGGGTGGGCCCTGCAGGTATGGTTTAAGCAACTAGGAATGGAATGGGGAGGGTTACAAGGTGGGCCCTGCAGGCCAGGGCCCGGGAACAGAACTTATGTGGAAACAACAAAATGGAGCTGATCTGGTCCTCACA